TAAAAAAATTAACATATAAACTTAATTTTTTAGTTTCCAAGAAGAGTGGTATTTTCTGTGAACTAAATAGTCCTATGTCATCTAACAGTACTGAAGTCTGAAATTGTTACTCAGTTGAATTAATGTTTCAATTTTCAGTTTTTCATTTAATTATGTCCTGATGCATTCAAATATTATTTTCTTTATTTTAGGAAGTCCAGAAGCATTCTGTGCACACACTTGTGTTCAGATCTTTGAAGAGAACCCATGATATGTTTGTAGCTGATAATGCCAAGCCTATCCCGTTAGATGAAGAAAGGTAAGTACTGCACTCATAAAGTTTTAAAGTGTTAGTGATTGCTCCATCCAAGTCAGAAGTTCAGATGTTTCTGTACAGTTAACAGGGTACTCTTGAGGGAAGAAAAAATTTAGAAATTTAAAGTAAGTTGTATAAAAACTTCTCTAAAATATTTCAAAACTTAATAACAATGCAAAAATTGGAGTTTAATCAAGATTGTGCTTTACTCCTCCAACAGTCACAAAGTAAAGATGGCAGTCAAGCTGCGTACAGAGTATGGCTCAGTGTTACACATGCCTACTCTTAAAGAAAACTTGAGAGAGAAAGGAGGCCCAAACACTGGGGATCCTTATGGACACAAACAGTATTCTGGAAATCAAGGTTAGTTTGCTCTTACTAGTATATTTGTGCTTTCTTTAGTAACAGTCTCACTGATGTAAAATGTGAAGAATGCAGTCCAATGTTAATCCATTGGAGATAAATACGGTATTTTTCTTGCTAGAGTCCACAGGAGGTAAGTGATTCAGAACAACGAGGAAGTTTGTTTTAACAAAGGAGTAATAGGGTGCTGTGAAATTTTTAAAGTAATTCATTAGTAAAGAGAGTAATTTTTATGGTAACATTAGCGTGTGCTGTACTTAGGTGTTAGAACGAGAAAGATGAGTAATGTATTTCTCCTTTTTACAAGTTCATGATGGTCAAGGACATACTAATTTGTTTTGGGTTTTTTTAAATTTTATTTCACAGATATTTTTCAGACTTCCTTTAGCTGTGCAACTATTAAGGCAGAGAACTCTCTATTTTAATTCTGCAGATTTTTTCAATCTGTTTCGTTATATATAAAACGTGTATGTATTGGGTAGATCCTATATGGAAACTTCTCTTCTAAAGAGTGCCAAATTCTGCCTTTTTAAGTAGACTTTTTTTTTCCCCACGGTACTTTATTTGGAAGTATTCTGAAAGTGAAAAACGTTGAGAGAATGAAAAATCTTTTCTTAAAAGAACCTTTTTCTTTTCTGATACCACAGACAATCAGTTGTCTTGACTAGCTTGCATTTCAGACACCTGTGCTATTTGTGTACTTGAATTTTTTTCCATGATATCTACTTCAAAAGGCATCTTTGACAGTATGAAGATCTTTCTCTTGAGAGTTCCTCTTGATAACAGGTAGCCTCACCATTTTAAAAATCTTTGTACTATTGAGTTTTAGAAAACTAAGATAACGAGAATTAAATCACTGAAAATAAGAAGTGTCTAAGTGTACCACATTAGAAGTTGTTGCTGGTTTCTTCTGCTATGTATGACCTGCTTTCCTCTATTTCCTGTTTTAGTGCATCATTTGCAGTGCAGTATAAATTGTAACTTACTAACTTCTGCTGCTCTTTAGGACAAGAGCTTGAGTATTTGATAACTGGTACGCATCCATACCCACCTGGGCCTGGTAAGTAAAATTCTTTGAGTGTTTGCCTAGGTTTTTTGGATTCCTGTAGGAACAAGGCATCCTCCATCCTAGGAGGAGCAGGCTTTCTCTTGGTGTGAATCCATACCTGATAGTAGCGGGAAATATCATTCAAGTCTTTCATAGTATTGATGCAGAGAGTTTCATGGCTGGTAAATGTTCTGGGATAGAAGGTAGGAGAAGGATTTAAGTACAGATGCAGTGTCTTCTCCCTAAGCCTCAGTGGATGTGAGCTTGCTGTGAGACAGTCATTCAGTTCCATGAGATTTCAGCTCCCATGGTAACATCATCACAAAAATGTTCTAGGAATCTCCTTTCTGATACTTTGGTCCCCTTTCTCTTGGAGGGCTTGCTGAGACCCACGGATCCCTGGTGCCTCCACTGTTATGGCAGAGCTGCTCTTAGAATTTTGTTGTGAACAAGGAGGGGGGATTCCAGCTAGAGGGAAGTTGAATGACAAGAGGGAATGTATCCTGCTTTTCATCACTGAAGCAGAAAGCTGTGGATATCATCGCCTTGCTCTGAGAAAGGGACATTAGGGTCTAATAATTTTAGTGTCATTTGGTTTTGTATGTGCTTGGAAGGGTTGTGTTCGTTGTTACATTGGCCTTTGCTAATTGTCGCTGTTATTGATCAATCCTGCTCTGTCCTTGTGGCAGTTTAGTTTTAACTGTTGATCTTTTACTGTTAGTGCTTAAGTTTTACAAGTATAGTGGAAAATCTGTTGTGGCTTGATTTGTAAGCTAACAAATGTGAGTGTTCAATGGACCCTCAGCCATTTAAAAAACATGCGTAATTGTCTCTAACTGTGGGGTCAAGACTTGCTCATAGAGGTTTCCTCAAGTTCAGTGTTCTTTTAATAGCATCAGATATGTCAGGGATAAAAATTAGGTTTCTTTTGTTGTTGTTTCTTGTTTTAACCTAAGCATCTCACCCAAATATTGTTGTTAACTGCCAGAACTCTGGTTAGGAAAAGAAATAGAGAAATGAGATAAATTCACCAGTCTGCACCAAAACTACGCTTTGCAAAGAATTTTTAATTTTTTAAAAAAAGTGATCTCCTGTTCTTAGGATGAGGCTATAAATTGTAAGTTGTAGTTTGAAATTCTCACTTCAGTAGGTCTAAACTTTTTGTAGTTCTGGCACCACTGCATAATACCAACCACAACATAGGGATGGCATAATAAACTGCACTGAAGGACCTAAGTTACCAAATACTTCTTAACATCATGTTTATTTCTGTGATGTTTGGATTTCCATAGTAGTTAAAGCTGGATAAAAAGATGGATGCTCCTCCTAGTTAGACTTTTTTTATCTCCGATGACAGAACCATACTGTTTTCTACTATAGAAATTGTGTACCTATGTATGTAGTAGAATGAAGATGGAAAGGATTTGGGTCAAAATAAGAATTTCAGTAGATTTGACTTGCATGTGAAAAATAATGTCATTGAAACAATGGTATTTAATATTACAGGGGTGTAACAAGCCCTTGTTTGCAGGTGTGTGTATATATATGTGTTTGTATAATACAATTCTCTGGATTTTCTTTTTAATAGAGTTGTCTTTGCTTTTTGCTGTGGTGTTTGTTTTTTTTCTAAGGTGTGGCTCTTACAGCAGATACTAAGGTCCAGAGGATGCCTAGTGAATCTGCAGCACAGTCCTTAGCTGTAGCACTTCCTGCTTCTCAGTCCAGGTACTGCTGTGTTACTTCATTAACACTGTTATCGTTGGGAATTTCGGAGCAGAACACAGAAGTCAGGATAAGAGCTACTCTAAGTATTTTGTATGCTCTAATTTATAAAATGTTTAAAGAAACTGCATTTAGTGTGGCCAGGCATCATTTTTCTGTACGCATTGTTTTTTCTTGGATGTCATGAGAGGCAATGGGCAGAAGTTGGAACAAGAGCAATTCTGTTTAGATAGAAGAGAAATAAAGTGAGGCTTTGTTTGTGGGTGTCTTACCTTGAGGTGGTCAGGCAGTGGAACAGGTTGCACAGAGAAGTTGTGGAGTCTCCATCCTTGGAGGAGTATGACACTCGACTGGATGCAGCTATGTGATACCTTATCACTTACTAAAAGAAAGTTGATTCCAGTTCATCAACTGTTTTCATTCAACCTAGATTGGATGCAAATCGGACAGCTGCTGGCGTGGGTGATATTTACAGGCATGCTGGAATATCTGAGCGTTCGCAGCCTCCTGGGATGTCCGTGGTGAGTTTGTTGCAAATCTAATGTGAAAAGTATGTAGCATTCACCAGATTGCTTCTGGATTCATTTGTGTGTTGTGTGGAGATCTCCTGACTAAATTTAATCAGTGTTGAGGTGTCAGAGTGAGAAGGCTTTAGGTTTTATGCAGAGAAGTAAGCTACAAAGTGTAAGACTAAACTTCCTTTTAACTTACAGGCTATGGTGGAAGCTGGTGGGAACAAAAATTCTGCGTTAATGGCAAAGAAGGCTCCAACCATGCCCAAACCTCAGTGGCATCCACCTTGGAAACTGTACAGAGTAAGTTACAAATGTATGACTTGAACATGCATATAAAAGTAAATGCATATTTTGTGTTCTGGAAAGACCTCAAAGTATAATTTTTCTTCTCATTCACAAAATGAAGTGTCATTGTAACTAAGTTGTATACGCACGCTCTCTCCTTAAATAAAAAAGAGGTTAGGTTACAAACACTTTCTATTCTGTTTAGTAAATTATTTTTGAATATTATTAACTTTACCCTTTTGTTTATGTAGGTGTAGCTGTATTATGATAAATTTGTTACAGAGTTTGTTTTTTCTTTTCTAGTCAGATTCTTTGGTAGAGGAACGCAAAGACAGGGTGCAAAATCTGAAACTAATAACATGTTCAAGCAATACTGTAGCAATGTTAATGTAATGAAATTGTCTCCAAAAACTCTTCAAGGCAGTCAGTGTCTGAGCCAGCCAGACTTTTACTTGCTATGAAAATGGGGGGAAAAAAAGCTGAATACTTTAAGATTATCTCTGCAGTTTAGATTGCATGACTTCTAGTCTTGTTTTTGAATTAATCTAATTTTCCTTTTAATTTTCTTAGGGAGTAATAATAACCATTCCTCCAAAATCTAGTATCATCTTTAAACATTTTGGTGATGTGTATGGCAGTGTAGCTGAGTTGGAGGGAAAAAATCTCTAAGCATATGTATGGGTTCAGATCTTTCTAACTTTTCAGGTGCATCTATTTGCACATGTACATGTGTGGGTTTTTTTCTAAGGGGCTGATTCTTGCTGTGAAACTTTAAGCAATTTCATATTTTGTCTGAGGGTGAATGTTATTTTAGGAATGTTAAGCTTTCCTGATATTTAAAAATCTCATGCTCCAGTATCAGAATTGTATTGTTTTAGCACTGTTCATCTAAATACAGCACTGTATATAGGCATTTAGATCTTCAGCAGAGTCCTGAATACTGTATTAGTCCTTAAATCTTACAGCTAATCTCAAAGTAAGTTTTTTCAAAAACACGTGAGCTCAGCGGAATATATAGGCTTTCTAAATACAACAGTATTGGAACATGGTCTCTATAAAAACTAAGGCAAATGCCATTTGAAAAGAATGGCACCAAAATAAACCTGTGAGAGATTTAAGGTAATCAAATGAAAAATGCCTACTTGTTAGGAGCACTTTCTTTTCAGAGAGAGACTGTAAAGACAATTGAAGTCACTGTACTAATTCTACATTTTATACAGTTTTAGTGGAGGTTTGCTGTCAAAATTCTTGCTCAACAGAACAAAAGCTTGTTCAGGCAACTCGGAAATAGAAGCATAACTGGAACACCAAACATGGGTTTCATCTTACCTGTTGCTTAAGATTTATGCTTTAACTCATCTTCCTAAGCTTAGTTTGAAATAATTTGTGAAACATGGGGACTTAAAATAGGTCAGATGAATTATTTCTTAGCTTTCTCTGCATGGAAATGCCCATTTCTCTTCCCAGACTATGAAGAAATCCAGAGAACTCTCTCCAATGTATGTGGCTGTGGTCTCATCTGGTCAGAGGAATCCACTTTAGCTTTCCAAAGCATTTCTGCCTTCTTTCTGCCTAAGAACTTTTGCTGTGTTTTAGATCTTTTGAAATGAGCTGTGTGACATTACATGAAATACAACATCCAATGAAACAAAATACGGATTTTGATTTTAGCTGTCTGACTTCAGAGAAATTAGAGAAACAGAAAGGCTGCTGTAAGCAAGCCATGTACTGGTAGAGCTTTTCTTGTGAGCTCCATCTCCGGTATTTTGTTACCAGAAAGTTTTTGTCATACTTGTATTATCCCTTATTTCGGGAAAAGTAGGTGGTAGCGTGCTTTAAGAGGTTAATATGTGGCAATGTGATTTTAATAGCCAAGATTTTATATAATTGTTCTTTATTTTTGTATAAGCACTATACAGCAGCATAAGGAACTTGTGCTTAAATACAGTCTTTCTCTGCAAAGCGTCAAGTGTTGAGCCATGGTGTTATGGATTCTCAAAGGATTTGAAAAAGTTGCTATAGGAACAGGGTCTTTCTGTATTGCAAGTTCCCCAAGTCTGGTGTATGAAAAGTAAATTTATAGCAATCTCTTCATTTAGCTAATGTAGAAATCAAGCTCTCTTCAGATCTAATTTCACATTTGACTTTTTGGGGAGCATGCATTTCTTGGTGAATACTAACAAATTCCAGTGTTGGCAAATGAAAATTATATTGACAGATGTACGTATATTATTTCTGATTTAGATAAATTTTTGTTTTTTCTAAAGGTTATCAGTGGTCACCTGGGCTGGGTGAGATGTATTGCAGTAGAACCGGGAAATCAGTGGTTTGTTACTGGTTCTGCTGACAGAACCATAAAGGTAAGAGGTTGGAAGAAATCACTGGCGAAGTTTGTGGGGGGTGGATTTTTTTGTTCTCTTTTTATTTAGAAATATCTTGCCCTTGGAAACAATTTCTTGGTTACTGTTTGCACAGTAATGAACTGCAGAACATTTTTTCTTTTATTAGCTAGTCATAAAGGATTTGTGGAATATTACTTCTTGAGATTTATTATTTCATTTATTACGTGGTAGTAGCTGGAAAGCAAATGTTTGTTACTGTAGTTTTTAATTTAAAATGCAGCAAGGTCAGTTACATCTGGGCTGTTTACCCAGACTATCACTGTGTAGCTTTTACCTGTCTATTTCAAAATACCTATTTTGATGCAGATCTGGGACCTTGCTAGTGGCAAATTGAAATTGTCTTTGACGGGACACATCAGTACTGTACGAGGGGTGATAGTAAGTGCAAGAAGTCCATACCTCTTTTCTTGTGGAGAAGACAAGCAAGTGAAATGCTGGGATCTTGAATACAATAAGGTAAGGTGTAGTTTCTTTAATTGGAATTAATTGTTGGTGGCAAATATAAATCAAAGCATATAGACTGTTCATTCAAATATCCCGTTACTGTGTGTGCTTTTTCTATTCATCTAGGTTATCAGGCATTACCATGGTCATCTAAGTGCTGTCTATGGTTTAGACTTGCATCCAACAATAGATGTACTGGTAACATGTAGCAGAGATTCAACAGCACGAGTAAGTATAGCATTGTTATGTTGTAACATCTTCATATGTTAATGTGTTTCAACATCTTCCATTTGTAAAAGTGAATACTTACCAAAAGTTAACATGAATGAAGATGAAAATACTAAGGTGATTTATGTTAGCTTTGTCTTCCATTGTCAATAAAACTGAAGCCTGAATACATAAAAATGCAGTGTCGCTTCAGGATACTGTTTTATTTCTTAATTTAGTAGATAGACTACATAATTTATATATAGGATCACTTAGTATTTAGAAAATGATATGGTTTTATGGTGACTTTAAGTTATCTGTATGTCTAGAAATTCAGTGGCAGGCTCCTTGCTCCCCTTGAAATTTGCCAGCTGAGACAGTTGTGTAATGAATTGTTGGATGAAAAATACAACCTAAATACCATTGTTTAGTCTGTAGACTTATGGCAAGGAATTCATGTAATCGATGACAATGCCTAAAATACATTGAATATGCACCTGTTGCTGACCTCTGACTTATATACTGTGAATTCATAGATTTGGGATGTAAGGACGAAAGCCAGTGTGCACACGCTATCAGGACACACAAATGCGGTAGCGACAGTGAAGTGCCAAGCTGCAGAACCACAAATTATTACAGGTATAGTGGGCATGTTTTCACAACTAACACGACTGAAAAGCCTAATCATGAACGTATTTGTTCAGTAATTATGTGAGGTTTATAATGTTATCTTTGTGAATTTACTCAATTTCTGTTAATTAGTTTTCTGTTGAAAATGGGCCATGCAATGGTTATTTCATACTATTAATGATATGTTTAAGCAAATACAGCTATGAGTTGTTTGAATGTTTTTCTGCACTTCCTTTTGTGTCTGGTGTTTACGTTTTTTGTTGTAATATGTATTGAGACTTGCATTTTCCGTGATATTTCACAGTTCACCCCAATTCAGTTAAGAATTGTCCAGTACCATGGTTAAATATGAAGTTCACCTTTTTTCCCATTATGTCAAAATCTAGCTTTGCTGTGTAACTACTTAGCTGTTCTTGAATTTCAAACTGTGTAAAAAGCCTGTTACAACCCAGCATCTTTCTTGTCTGAGGTGGCCTTAGTGTATTTTCATAACAAGCATAATATTTTTGTCTCTTTCACATACAAGCTTCCTGCCTTATCAAAGTAATAGTGATGATAGAATCAATATGATGGTTTCTGCTATTTTTTATTCTCTTTTCATGGTAGGCAGTCATGATACTACCATACGGCTCTGGGATTTAGTGGCAGGAAAAACTCGTGTTACTTTAACAAATCACAAGAAATCTGTAAGAGCAGTGGTGCTACATCCAAGACAGTAAGTTTTCCTCATTCTTTTACACTTTCACAGTTCAGAACATTTGGTGGTGACAGAAAGCCAATGTGAGTGATGATTTAGAATGGTAGGGCATAATAATGTGAAAACCAATGAGCTTAGAATGCTGTAAAAATGTACATACCAGTTCTCAGATACCTTTTACTACACTGACTATGCTCCTTAAGTATTGACATTGGTGTACATTAGCAATCCTGAGAATGTCTTATATCCCACAGAATTTCTCATGTATGTGCCTTTGATGCAGTCCTGGACAAATCAGTGACACAGGGCTTGTAAGGCTAATAATAAATACATAACTGAATGATTGTTAGCAGAAAAAGTAGTTTTGTAAAGTGGCACATGTGTGAATAATGCTAAAGGAGACAGTGATTAATATAAAAGAATTTTTTTGAATATGTGGTTCACTGCCAAGACAGTTCAATCTAACTGGCCTTAAAAAGAAACTTCTTGTGAATATTTGATCTTTGAAGCAGGTGTTGTTGGAAGTGCTCTGAATTTAGATGCTATATTTTGATGCGTCAACAGTTGCCTGTTTGGATAAATCTTCATTAAAACAATGGAGAAGAGGAATTCACATAGAATTGCAGTACTTCTTCACTTTTAATATTTTAAAATTAAATTCTGTCAGTGCAGAAATTCAGAATCTTTAATATGAATAAACTCTGATCCAATCTGTGTGCCTCAAAAATTGTGAAAATCTTATGATATGCCTGTTAGCTGTAGCAGAGAAAAAGCCTAGTTTTACTTATATTCTGCAAAAAAAATTTCTGGTTTCAGATTCATCAATCATACCTCTTTGAAAATAAACTTGAATTGTTTTTATCAAGCAGTAGGAACTGTCAGCCTAGTATGTTTTTTATATTTCAGTATTTCTATTTTTTAGTATTCCACTATTTTTCCTAATAATCTGTTTTTTTTAATTGGGAGATCTATTAAGTAGACAGCAAATTACTTAGACATTGTGGCAATTGAAAATATCCCTACAGGCTTTTGTATGTGCTACCCAAATAACCTTGTAACTGCTTGCACATGTTAAAATGAGGGACTTGATTATTTTAAGGTAACTCTGTAAAACAAATTATCTTTCATAGTTCACTTTTTTGCAGTACTTTATAGTTGGTTCTGTAGTTTTGGAAGACTAGCCAATACTGTTTTTTTTGTTTGGGGTTTGCTGCTTCCCCACCCCCCCGTTACCTGTGCTGATGATGCCCTTATACCTGAAAATTTGCCAGAATAACAACTATCAAGAACTTAATGTGCATTTGTAATATTTGTTTGCATATAAACATCCTATATGGCATAGGATTTATTAAGTTTAGGTAGTCTATGGAACAGAAAGGAAACAGTAGAAATAGGTAATTCATGACTTCATAAACTTGCTTCATGTTATGTGAACTAAAAATGGCAGAAAAGGAGTTTTAGTATTAAGCAACTTTGCAACTAGCATTTAACAGTAGTTTCAATGAAGGGTGTTTGCTATCCCCACAACTCCTTTGAACTTTAATATAATGTCCTTATTTTCTTTCAGTTACACATTTGCATCTGGTTCTCCAGATAATATTAAGCAGTGGAAATTCCCAGATGGAAACTTCATTCAGAACCTCTCTGGTCACAATGCTATCATCAACACACTGGCTGTAAATTCTGATGGTGTTCTGGTCTCAGGAGGTAAAAATGAGAAATACATGTTCATATGTCCCCTCTCTACTCCCTCATGTATATATGGCTGGAGGTTGTTAGACAAAGATGCTTGCTGAGCTCTCCTTTATCTGGGCCTATAAGCCTGCTACAGCATGCAACTTAATTTCATAGTGAGTAGGGCCACTTTTATCTTCTTGGATGTTGGTGAGCTGCATACACAAAAATGCATTTGAAAGGACTTTTGATGTGCTGCAGGGAAGAGGTTTCCCCTCCTCAGTTGGCTGCTGCCACAATACTACAGGGTCCATCCTCTATGATCTCCTGATCATTAGTGTCCCCTCAGGAGTGGTGTGGAAATTGGAAGCTGCCTGGGAGACATCTGGTCCTTTGTTGGCTGCTCTCTGTTAGTAACATGTTCATGCAGTGAGAATGGACAGAAGATATGGAAACATCTTGCTAAAGCTTGCTGTACCATTTAAATGTGCACTCTTTCTGTTTTTTATGCAGCACAAAAGCATTGGTTTCTTGTCTCAAAGTTTCTTGCATGTGTTTTCTGATGTTATCTGTGTCATTTCGAAGATTGATAGCTAATCTTCAAATTTTATTTGGCTCTGTGAATCAACACCATGTTTACTCAGAAATATTGTATGTTCAAGCATTCTGAAGTTAAGAAACTAGCCACTTGGCTCCAGTGCCTATGGGAGCGTAGAGAGAATGTAATAGCTGATGTATTCTTGATGTGTTAATTAATTGTTCATTAGTTTTTAGCTATTTTTAGAAAACCGACAGGAAAAAAAAAAAACTGATAGAAATTACCTGGTTAAAATAATAAGTATGCTTGTTTCTTTTAGCTGATAATGGCACTATGCATCTTTGGGACTGGAGAACTGGGTACAATTTCCAGAGAGTACATGCAGCTGTACAGCCAGGATCTTTGGACAGTGAATCGGGAATATTTGCTTGTGTGTTTGACCAGTCAGAAAGCAGATTGCTAACTGCTGAAGCTGATAAAACCATAAAAGTATACAAAGAAGATGATACTGCGGTATGTCGAAGTGTCTTTTTAATGTATTTTTATGAATTAAAAAAACTTCAGACAAATGTTACGCATATCAATAAGGGATATGCACAGACTTGTGCAATCCATTTTATTGAAGTGTGAAAGCAATGTGTATGTAATAATGTTACGAGGACAGTAGCTAGTTTCTGCACTCCTAATTTCTTACTATATGCTATAGTACAAGTAAGTGTTAGGTCTATCAACTCTTCTGCAAAAGTCCTTTGTGATGAAGTTTGGAGAAATTTTAATACAATAATGTACATTGTGTTTTGAAGCCAGTAGGGGACTGTGCATGATTGTATTAATTAAAACATGGGAATTAGCAGAAATATTATATTCTAAAGATTTATTGAACTTCTATATATGGTGTAGATTAGTCATTTTGCAATTTTTAGAAGTCAGAGTAAATAGCTTACTTTCAAATGGTTATTCTCAAATTTGAATCCATTTACTAACGGGGAAGACAATAGATTACAGTTAATCGGAGTATGTCTTCAGTATGAAGAATATAAGGATTTTTATTAAACCTTGGAATTTTTGCATTGAATTAGACATGGAGCAACTCTTGGATACAAAGGAATAAGGAATGTTTTATCGATTTTTGCAATTGGGCAAACTGTAGACTCTGTGGCATCTGCTGATACTCCTATGTCTGGAAGGACTGTCTCTGGAATTCCCATTCCTGTGGTTTGA